GGCATTTATTATTGAGGAACCTTTAGAATCTGGACCTATTTTACTATAAGACATAAACCAATTTGTAGCAGGATTTAAAATGAGCAAAGACAAATCTAAAATATTGACTAAGAATTTAAACATCAGACAGAGTGAACAACTAGAGGAGGAACTGGGAATCTCGAGAACAAAAAAAATTAAATATTTAGGAATTTGGCTATCAGAAAAGTAGTACTACCATAAAGAGGGATAATTACGATACACTCCTATTACAAATACGAAAATATTTGGATAACTGGACTAAATTACCAATATCATTAATTGGAAGAATTTCAACGATAAAAATGAACATATTCCCAAGTTACTATATTTATTTCAAACAGTACCAATAACATTAGGGAAAACTTTTTTTGAACAACTGAACAAATTGACATCAAAATTTATATGGTCAGGGAAAAAAACCGTGCATTAAATTCAAATTATTGCAAGATAGTAGGAAAAAAGGAGGTTTCAGTTTACCAGAATGGGAACTTTACTATCAAGCGGCATCCCTAACATGGCTCAAAAATTGGATACAACTTAAAAATAAGCGGATATTAACGATAGAAGGCCATGACCTTCAACTTGGTTGGCATGGCTTTTTATGGGATGGGAAAAATAAATCACACACTTATTTTCAACGTCATAAGGTAAGGGATGCACTACTGAAAGTAGTTTAAAAAGAATCATTATATGAAAGTCCCAGTTTGGTTGTCTACAATGGAAGCAATGATACATCCAAATACCACAGACCTAGATAAAATAGTGAGATACGCAGATTTATTAGACACAAAAGGAGAATTAAAATCAATACAAGATTTGAAAAAAACAAGGAATAAATTTGGAATGGTGGCCATATTTACAAATCAAAACTAGATTTAAAAAAGATAAGGAATAATTTGGCATAAACAGGAAACAATTGGAATTAGATAAATTAATATTAGGATCGGGAAGAAAAATGATTACAAATATCTATAATTATTAGGATACAAATTGGAAGAAGACACAGTAAAGGAAACGATGATAAGTTGGGCTAGGAATTTCGGACATTCCATAGAATTGGATAAATGGGAAAAATTGTGGGGGGGAAATTATAAATTGACCATGGCAGTATCAAAGAAAACAACTATAAAATGTTTTATATGTGGCATTTAGCACTAGCGAGAGTGGCAAAAATGTACCCCAATTTATCACCTCAATGTTGGAGATGTGGTCACAAATTAGGGACATACTACCACATGTGGTGGATGTGCCCTAAGGTGAGGAAATTTTGGTATAAAATTAATGGGTGGTTAGAAGAGATTATACTCCAAAAGATAGATTTTAAACCAGAGATGTTCCTCCTAGGAATGATTAATAGAAAAATGGAAAAAAATCTCTATTATATTATATTGCATATTCTAACGGCGGCCAGAATTACTTTAGTGCAAATGTGGAAGTCGACCAATACACCATCAAAAGAAACGATAAAAAAGAAAATCCTCAAATGCGCCGAAATGGATAAATTAACTATGGAGATCAAAGAAAGAGAAGACTCGGATTATTATAAAGTGTGGAATAGGTTTTATACATGGTTGGAAAACAGAAATCAAATTAAGAAATAAGAATATAAAGTGAAATTTGATATTAACATACTGGATATGAATGTAAATAATGACCCTGCTAACAAAACAGTTAATTATGAATATTTAAAAATAAAGAGAAGAAGCGGGAGGATAAAAGCTAAGAGTAAAGACCAAAGTCGATGCAGAAAGTTGTAAAATTGTAAATATCTGTAGTTAGTATTGTATTTTAACGTCTGATGTGTGTGTGTGTTTTTGGGTTTTGGTTTTGGGTTTGGGTTTTTTTTGCCTACTGTGTATTTTATTTTAAAATGTAAAATACTCAATAAAAATTATTTTTAAAAAATAAAAAAAGAATATATTGCTGAAGTGGGCTGAATCTAAAGTAGATCAGTTGTACTGAAATTCCTTTGTAAATATTATGAAATGTTAATCATAATTAACTTAAATCCAGTTCATTTGCTTGATATGACTAATTTAGATTGGATTACATCTAAAATAACATATTGGTTAACAGCCATATACCAAGAAATGTCTAATTAAAAATAACCTATGCTATTATATCAATAGGTAGCCTATGGTAAACTTTCTCCCTCCCTCCCTCTCTTTCTTTCCCTCCCTCCCTCCCTCCCTCCCTCCCTTTCTGTCTCCCCTTTAGCTCTCTATCTTAACCTACATAACAGTTGCAAAAATCACTAAGTAGGACAAATGTTTTGAATATACCACTAAATGGAGTATTGTGAAGCAAATGTAATCCCCCAACCATTGACAGAGACTAAAGCAATGTTGGGGAAAAATTATATTGAGTAGATACAATAATGTGGCTATCAACTATTCTCAGCTCTTTCTCTTTACTTTTACTTTTCTCTTAATAAAACACATTCTCGTGGCTGTCTTAAAGCCCAGAGAGGATTTCTTAAAACTGAGGAAGCTGAAGCTTATGCCCAATTTGAAACAGAAGAAGGGCCTCAGGTGGAGAATGCATCTGTTCTCAGCACACCACTGAGCCTGAGCATAACAGTTGATTTCCCTGGGATTGCAAAGATCACTTTCTGCCAGAGGTTTGGATCAGTTCCCCATTCAGGGAAAGGAGAGGAATCTGGAGCAGATTGAGAGAAAACGTGTACAACAATGTCCCATGGATCTCTTGCTAATTGTTCTTATCTCTTCTCTGTATTCAGGCTGGAAAAAGATGGTCAAGCAATCCCATAAAGTGCTGTTCCCAGATTTATACATTGATTTCTAACTGGAAGTCACAGCAAAGCTAGTGATTTTGAAACAAGAAACTTAACAGATCCATGCATACCATTTTAGACAAAGATAGATCTTTTAAAAAATAATCATTAGAATGCTTTTGGATAGTTCTCACCACTGCCAAAATGGACTGGATATCTAATTCTTTTTCTGTAGTCGACACTGTCATTTCTTTCAGCCAGTGTGCTGAAAACATGGCTATTTAATGAAGTATGAAAAGTCATCTACCTTAGCATTCTGGTTCCTTTAAATCAGAAGGAACAGAACCTGCAGAAAACAACAAGAATAGCACTACCTTCTCCCTCCCAAATTATATATTTTAGTAATTCTGAAGTTTATTTTAAGTATCTTCAAATGCTTTTAGGCATATTAGATTCCTAGAACAAACTGTCCATCATGCCTTATTCATTCAGAAATGGAAAGTTTTGTAACGTACAGTAGGGGCAGTTATGGGATAGTTCAAAAAGTGCATCTGGCGTGGAAAGGAAAGAGATGGGGATTTTTTCCTGCAAATAGAAGAAACGAAAAGGTAATGAATAATGGATAATTAATAAAGGATGAAAGGAATAAAGCAAATGGATCCAGCCAGGGTAATGAGGCAAAAAAATCTGGAACACAATGCTAAAACCTCTAGGAGCTGAATTTGATATGGAAAGAGTAATAGAATACAGAATCAAGCCATTATTTCTTATTTGCTTTCTGAGCTGACCAAAGAGGGCTGAAATGAACCTATCAGTCCATAACAATAAGAGTAATACAGTGTTAAAAGTACCCATTTGTCTGTGCAAAGCCTGGGCAATCGTTGAACAGTATCTTGATTCAGGAGAAAATGCCATTTATCCTGTAATAGCCTAGTAGGCTGATAAAATTAAAGTGTTACTTCAACAGGATTAAGAAGAAAAAAGAATTTTAGAATTTTTAGTAGTAGTTTGGCAAAAATGTTCAGATACCAATATTATAAATATTTCAAAATTATACAGCTAGCTGCAGATTTCATTTTCCCATTATAACAATTAAGCTAAGTGATTTTTAAGGCCAACTGAGATAAAATTTGCAAACGAACATTTCTGCGTGGATTCTGAATGGAAAATGTGTTGCATAAGTAAACAAACAAATAAGGATGTTGTGAGTGGGAAGCACACCCAAGGCCTGCAGACACACTGAAGAGTGGGAAGCAAAGCACAGGTTGCTTCAGGAAGTACGGAAGGTTTGGGAGAAACAGGGCAAGTAGTGTGTGACCTGGGGAGGTGCTACCATATGAGCTGGGCCTCTCAAGGACTCCTCCACCCCTGAGGCACCCCCATGCTCCAGTTAACTACTTGCATGGTCACTTAACAACCTCATTGGGGAGATAGGGATAGGTGCAGTTAAGTGAGGTAGGTGATCACATGGCACCTTGTTTAACAATTATCACAACTTAGGCTTCATTATGATTGTAAGTTGAGGAGTATCTGTAGAATGTTTTCCATTACTTTCATAATTATTTTTCATTCAGAATTCATTGGAATTTTGATTGACTGATTGATTACAATACTGTATATTTATAAATATCTTGTGTAGACTTCTATTAGAAAAAATGCAAATAATTTATTTATTTTCTGGCTATTTTATAAGATAGTTTTGAGCTGAATATGTGTATTGGGCTTTAGTTATCTAAACTAAACAGAATGTTTAGTTAACAGTCCTAAACTAGGACAGAATGCTTTTAGAATTTGCTATTATTGTTTTCATTAATTTTTTTAAATTAATATCAATGATTATGTGGGCAATTATTTTAGAAACCGTGAGGAGTTTGTTTGCCCTTTGATATTATATGCATTTCTTTAAATTAAATAAATAAATGATTACAAATGGTGATACAAAATAAAGTGTAAAGTACAATATTGTTTATTGTAAAAGCTTTTTAATCATATTTCAAAACATCAAAATTCCACAGAATGAAGAGTTACTTCTTTATCGCTCAAGGTTTTTACCAAACGAAGGGAAATCCCACCAATCTATCTGTTTAAAACTTTGATCTTATAGCCTTTAAATCGTCTCTCCTATCCATTTTGCTGTTAAAAAAACAACAACCCAACAACATTGAGTTGATCTGCATAATTAAGTTTAGGCATCTTCATTTGCAAAAAACCTAACTAGAAAAATATTTTATTTGTTTTCCCCCAGAAAGTTCCCAAGCCAAACTCAACCAGAATTCCACATCAGATGCAAACCTCATGAAATATAGGACAATCAGCCAGATTCCACAGTTCACCCTCAACTTTGTGGAATTCAACCTCGAGAAGCATCGTTCAGGCTCTACCACAGAGATTGAGATAATCGCCCCGCACAAAGTAACAGAACGCACCCAGAATGTAACTGAAAAAGTCACTCAGGTATGTGGCTTCTGAGAGGTAGCATGAAGATGAATCACTAATAGGGTGGAGGAAGGCAAATTCAGCTGAAAGAAAATACACACATAAATAATCTAAACATAAATGTACAGCAGTACATTTTAAATTGCTTTGGATACAGTACAAATATGCCCCAGTAGTATTTTCCCCCTATGTATTCACGACATTATTATTATCTCACTACCATCCCACAGCAATAACCGTTGCCTCTTCTTTTGGCACAGTTTTTATTATGGATATGACTTAGCATGGTTCTTAAGGATGATAATGTAGTTACGGGTTAGATACACACACACACACACACACACACACACATGGGGAGGGAGAGAGTACATGTAGACTTTTTATAAATAAAAGACAAATCTAAAAAGAGAGAAATAGAGAGAAGAAAAAAGAGAATAAAGTGTAAAGAAAAAAATGCAAAAAAACAAAAAACAGTGATAACTAAAGGAATTAAATTATTTCCTATTGTCTTTTCAACAAATACAAACCTATCATTTCCCCTCCCTCGCTCTTAACTATTTCAGAGATCCATTCAGTCCCTTTTGTAATCCCCATCTTTTTCAGTCATTAAATCCATAAATCATCATTTCACTTTTTTCTTCTTTTAGTAATAAGTCCATAAATGTTCTCAGAAAAGCACTTACTGCTTTCTTCCTGACCAAACAGGTCAGTTTTGCCCTTTTTACCAGTTATGATATTTTCACAATTGATTCCTCTATGTGGTTATATCTGTACTCTTCCATTGCTGCAGAAAGAGTAATCTAAATGATAGGTTTACGATCAATGCTATATTGTGGACATTGTTGGTTTTCTTCTGATTCAACTTAACATGGAGCTTGGACATAAAATAATTTGTCCTTTGTTATATAATCACCTATGTCACATCTTTGCTATTACAATTGAACTCTTCTATTTTATATTGAAGTTAGTCCTTGACTTACTAAGTAGTAGCAATTGTTAAGCAAGGCACCCATGTTAATGACGTATTATGTAAAAACGTATTTTCTTCAGCTGGGTTGAATCTCTGCCTCTGGTTTCTGGTAAATTCATAGTAAAAAAAGTATACATTATTTCACTGTAATAACAATTATTGGATGTACTGCTTCACAGAAGATAGACTGATTCTGATCTAACCTATATTGGGTTTTGGATCTAGAGTGAATGTATGTCTGTGATTAAGACCGAGGAGAGTAGACATAGTACTGAAGGATTCTTCAATATTACTACCACTATTCCCATCTCCCCTCCAAATTTCTATAATATGTTTCTGAATGGAACTTAATGGGCATAGGTCAATATGGACTTGCTGCTACATTTTATTAGAAACAGTCCCAGTGTAGCCCATTTAGGGGGAAAGATTCCTTTTTTGTGAGCAGTCTCACAGAACATCTTTGCTCTACTCTCTGCAGTTCCCTGAGCTTTTGTGTTGAGAGTGAGTGGTAATTCCATGACCTCATCTTCAGTGAGCAACAGTAGATGTATCTGCTGTTTGCTGTTTTGCCCTACACCCTTTGCCTGCTCAGAGGCAATCAGTCTGATGGTGCTGGAGCTGGCTACTTGTCATCTGTCAGCACTTCTGAGCTGGCTCTGGCACAGGCTGCTTGTCACTGGTTTTCCTCTGACTCTGAATTCACTATGATATTATGCAAAGATTTAGAGGTAAAAAGAAGAGGACAACTAGTAGAAAGGTGAAGAATGATGGGTACACTTAGAAACTCCAAAGGACTAGGATGGGGAAAGATAATCATGGAGAAAATATACTGATGTGATTACTGCAGATGAACATAGATTTAATGACATTTCATCATGATCAATCTTCTTCTGCATAGGTGTTGATTTCAGTGTCACAATATGCCATGATGCAATCCTTTGTTATTGTTTTTAATCATGGGGCCAAATTTATATATATCTTCTTAATTGTATTTTAATGTTTGTAGTTTATGTTTTTATTTGGCTGTTCACCGCCCTGAGTCCTCAGGGAGAAGGGCGGTATACAAATTTAAAAATAAATATATAAATTTCTGAGGCAGTACAAAATATCGGGTGGAGGGGAGTTACAAAAGTTAACAGGAGCATTCCTGTTTGACATCTGCCTCCCATATCTTTCTGCACAGATTCATCTTTCCATATCTAGTATATTCCAGTGATAGTACTTGCACATCCACAAAAAAATTGGATTCCTCCTATAAGAGTTACATAGTCAGTCACTTGTTTTGTAGCTGTTATTTAATATTACTTTCCCACTAAACCAGAGACTAATAGTTGTCCCTTCTTGTGGTGTTTGTTATGGCAACTGTGATTTAAAACTGTTGGAAGAAATATCCTTCTGGGTTCAGTTCCAAGTGGGGAAAAAGACACTGGATTCATGGAAGTTGCTTGGAAAGAAGGTTTATTGATGAACAGGATCACATGGCTTGAGATCCTGAGCAGAAAAGGGGCAAGATGCTGAGAGTGCCTTTGTTCTATGCCCTCTGTTGGGCTTTGAATTTGAGATTGTATTCTGATTGGTTGTTAGACTCCCACGGGGCCATGCAGGGGCAACTCTGTAATTTGTCCTGAGTCCCAAGGTTGAGCCTTGCTGCTTGATGATGTAATGAAGGGGCTTTGGACAATTCCTATTATGGCTTTGCTAGAAGGAGGTAGACCTTTGTTATGTAGAATAGACTGGCTCAGGCCTTAATGGTCCATTGACAAAGGTGGGGGGCTGAGTTTCTGCCTCCCTTTTAGAGGAAATATTCTGCCCTTTTAATATTTCCTAAAATATCTCATTTTCCTAGGAGAGGGGTGGGTGCTAACTTCCTACAAAACCATTATAACTGTCTCAGTAGCATTGCTACATCCACTTTTTGCCTTGAACAAGTACCCTGAGGATTGGCCAAATAGAATCTACCAGATACTTCATTTTCTTTTCTTCTGGATTAATATCCTGCAAGCAGATCACCCTCTTGTATTCATATATTAATACTGTCACCCTCCTCCAAAGTACAAAGCAGATGACAGTATTGTCACTGACAAGCCTATTAAATACTACTATAGTGCCATTTTTTTTCAAATTCCTATCTCAAAACACTTTCTGAATCATCATATTATTTAGATTGCTATTGGCTATTAGATAAATTCACAGAAAAGATTTATAAGCAAATATTTGCCCCAGTAAGAAAAAGCATGTGATAATAAAGATCTGTATTTCCTTCACCTTTATTTCAAAGTTTAGGCATTTTCAGTGTGTTTTGAGGCAAGAAAGATTATAAATCAGCTAATAAAAATAAACAAGAAAAAATAAAGATATTTCACAAATTCACTAATCCTACATTTAAAAATAAAGGAAAGGGAGAGATGGGGGGGAGGGAGGGAGAGAGAGAAGGTAAATGAGGCAGTATCAAATGTAAGGAGTTTGCATTCCCTTTTATTATTGTTCCAAATGCAGTATATTGAAATAGAGAATTTAGGAATATATGGTATTTCAGATTAGACCTGTTTTCACACTGAAGATGCTTAAAACAGCTTTATTTTAAATAGTCGAATACTCTGGGGATAGTTTTTAAGCTTTTTAGTTTTGAATAAGCTTTCATTATTTCCTGTCCACTATCACAATTGAACTTGGCAATTTAGTATGGAATTAGAGCAGTGATGGGTTTCTACCAGTTCGCCCCATTTCGGACGAACCAGTAATGGCAGTGGCAGGAGGCTCCGCTCACCCACACAGACGTCATCACGGATGCTCTGCACATGCACAGAAGGTTCTGCGCATGTGCAGAAGCACCGCACGCACGCTCACAGTCCCAAACCAGTAGCGAAGGTAAGTGGAATCCTCTCTATCCAAAATGTGGTGTCAGCGTTCCAAGTAATGCACCCATAGAAAACAGAACTCCGAGGCAAGCAGGTTCCTCAAAGAACAGTTTATTGGATACTTCATATTGGCACAACTGATGAAAGCTGAGTCTGAAATTTCCCATGGCTTTCACCTAATTAAAAGTAAAAGTTTCTCCTTTTCCCCCAAGTCTGGAGCTGGAGCCAGGCATTCGGCCACTCGGTGGCCTTGCTGGTCACAGTGGAGATTTGATGGGCTGCCCTGGGGGGGTCCCCTCGGTTGCTCCTCAGCTTGGTATGGGCTAGACCGATGACCCAGCTGGCATTTTTCAGTCTGGCTTTTTGATTTCTTCTCGGCTGGTCCACGCTTCTTGTGCCAGTTGAGTTTGAGGTCCATGGCCACTGTCATTTGGTACCCCTCACTGATGCAGTTGGGGACTCCTCGACAGACATATGTGTGAAGCAGCCCTGCGTCCAGTCCATCTTTGAAGAAGTGGACCAGAAGTCACTCAGGCCATCACCACAGCTTTCCCACATTTCTCCTAAACTCCCTGACATACTGTTTGGCAGGACGACCCTTCTGCTTAATGTCGCAGATTTCTGCTTCAGCTTCCTGGGTCTGGGATTCATTCTCAAATCTGGACCTCAGTTCTTGCAAGAAGACATCAGTGTTCCCAGCTCTGATGCATCCTCATCATAGAGCTGGTTCACCCACTCTATGCTTCCTCTTCCCCTTCCAGGCAGGCGATTATACTCGCACCATAGCCTGGTCAGTGAGATAGTCAGAACAATAGTCGTTGATGTGAGCCCACACCTGGTTCAGGGAAAAGGCCAACTTCTTCTTCTTCTTCTTCTTCTTCTTCTTCTTCTTCTTCTTCTTCTTTCTTCTTCTTCTTCTTCTTCTTTCTTCTTCTTCTTCTTCTTCTTCTTCTTCTTCTTCTTCTTCTTCTTTAACTTAAACATTCCATCTTCCATTAAACAGTGTGTCATCTGGGTACAAATATCTCTGTGCAATAACAATCAAAATTTACAACAGTATTCATTACATTGATATTAATTCTCTAATCTTACAATAATAATAATAATGAGTATAATACATCTATTCATTTCTCCCTCTTAACGTATCTTCTAATAAGAATATAATAGTAATAATATTAAATATAATATTG